CTTAATATAAAGGAAAAACTAGAGAAGTGACGGAATTACCTACGATGTTGGAATATACCGCGTTTACCCTAGGCTGAAGTTGAACTAGTGCCTTGGTCCTAGTTGGGAAAAAACAAAAAGTCCGACTTTTTTCTGAAATATTGCAACTAGTATCATATAATTTCAGTAGGTATGAAATCTTGCAGCTCTAATGTCATGTATTTTTATTTGTTTGAAGTAATTGCAGTTCACAAACACATCATTTCATAACATTTTCAACTTTTGCAGGACTTAGTTGTTAGTACCACGCTGCATGCCCCCACCAAAATATCCTGTATAACAAGTCAACCCATACAGTGTGGAATTCTAGAGGGATAATAAATTAACCAGTACACATAGCATATTGGAAAGCAAGACCTGAAAGCTTGGAAAGGCCAGGAACTTTACACTTTGTCTATTATTTACATATCCTATCCCTTTCCAGAATTTCATTTGTGATTGGTTTGTTATTTTAGCCACTTTTAGCTTTCCAGCTTTGATTGGATAATGGAATTGTAATATTATCTGCTTTCAAGCTGTGATTGGCTGATGGGGATGCTTTCAAGCTGTGATTGGTTGTGCCCATAAGCCCCACCCCCAAGTATGATATATGTAATACAGTACTGGTTAACTAAATAACGGTACTTAACTGAAACTTGATCATTACAAACAAAAGGCCTGGAAATTGTTTAAAAAAAACAATAAATGTAAGACAAGTAAAAAATAACAAACAACAGAAATTCAAATAATTCTATTACAAACCTAATGTACTATACAATTGAAACATTTTGTCCACTTTTGATCCTCTTTTTTGTTTATAGTCAGTCTCCTGGCAGGCTGGCAGAGCACTGTATCCAAGGAAAGCTTTTCACCTTGGGTGGATAGCTTTTTTATAAGTGAACTTCCATTCTTAGAATTCCAGCCTGCGAACCCAAAATGTTTTGTTAGAGATCACATAGTTTTGGTCATGTCAAACTGCATCATCACATGTTAAGTTGTCTCTAAAGTAAAGACAAATGTTATTGTTGCTGTTTCTATGGAAAAGAAACAGTTATTGTTGCCGTTCTATTCTGGGTAACATGTGCACAGTACTTTCAAATGAGTTTGCAGCTTGTTAATGGCTCTTCATGGCTGGGATATGGAATTCACAGCTCAAAAAAAAATTGAATCATTGCTTGCAAGTCCATAAAACCATGGCTTGAAAAATCCAGTTGGGGTTCAGAAAGTAGAAATTTTTCTCATTAGTCTGGGTCCTGGCTTATGAATTGCAATTGAGTCCAAACTCCAAATGTGGCTTCAATGACTAAAGAGGGCAGAGGAAAGTGGCATCACCAGCCAGCTGCAGTTTGGTTCTGCAACTGTCTAACTGACCATTTTCAGCTACTTTCATTCACTTTTTCATGGGCAAAAGCTTGCAGTGCAAGCCTGCAAGGTCAAGATAGTATATAGACTCATAGAGTAGTTCCAAGCCAAAGCCTCTGAGTCATTCATTTAACTTTCAATGCCATCTAACTGCATGCTGTAATAATGATCAGCACAACATTCAACTACTGGCAGGCTCGTACCTGGCTGTTGATGCGGAACATTGGTTTGAATTTCCCAATAATTATGGGCAAAATCTGTCATTTTAGTCATAATTTTCTATTGTGACATGCTAAGAGCTTCTATTTCCCTCATTTTTATGATATAAATTAGGCAAGGGTCATAATAATACTCATAAACACAGGCAAAATTGAGTGCAAGCAGAGGCATTTGCTTTGCTTCATTGGTGCCTTCTGCCTTATATTACTTTATATAAGTTTTTCTTTGTATTTATTGGACAGATTTTATTATTTATTCTTTACATTACTATTTAGGGCACCAATCAAACTACTCAATTTGTGTTCTATTGGGATAATGATTGTAAAAAGTATGAGATTGATCAAAATCAAAAGGCACATTCAACTCTTTCACAAGGAGTGACCACATATGGTTGCTTCAATCTCCTCCCAAAAAGTCCCACCATAGCCCCCTCTCCCCAGTTTGTGTTGGAGGCAACATTATCATGCCTTAATAAATCAGAAATTAATTACTAGGTTATTGCTCCATAGGTACATAGGAGCATCCCTTATTAAGGCCAATAATTGAAATATGGGCATTTAAATTACATTTTTGACTTGGGACAATGAGACTGACACACACATTCCTCATTTTTTAAAACAGCCAAAATAGCAATATCTTTTAAAATAATTCTTTTCACTAAATGAAATTGAATTAAAATTAAAGTTAGAAATTTATTCTTGGGATTTGAATGATTAAATTTTAACTGTATTACATTTTTTCTTAGTAATGACCATATTTAATAGGTTATTCAACAGGAAATTACTCCTTGAATATGTTTAAATTCAGGAAAATACATAAGAGTAAATATATCTTTATGTATTATGTATATGTATTATGTATATTATGTATATATCTTTATATATCTCTTATCCCGAATATATCTTTTATATATATTTATGCTTCAATTGGGTTAAGGAACATTTAATGCATTGAATATTCATCATGGTATTGTAGATTTCTGAGAATTTAAAGAAAACTTTTAACAAATTAATCAAATAAATTACTAGTATTTATATCTTGATGTACTACTTGACCAGCAGTGGCACACATAAATTTAATGGACAAATTTGTGTTAATCACACATAAATAGGTATTAAGATTTCTCAACATTTCTGCCATATTAGCTGAAAACAAAACAAAATCCAGATTACAAAGAAACCTTCTAATCAAGGTTATATGTATGGTTTATTTTAGGACTCTACTAGTACTTGGGTCTTTTTATTAGTACCATAATAAATGTATTGCACCCATTATGTACTGAAGTGCCTCTGGTGCAGAGGACTGAGCTGAGCACGTCTGCACTAGGTGGTGGGTAGGTCACTGATCTTACATCCTCTTGTTCTGTAGCAGTTGTTGATTGCTTCATTATTGTTATCATTGGTTACCATAAATTGCTTATTATTGGTAATTTTGCAAGAAATGTTGATTTATTATTGTTTTGAAGTTATTGCTCTACTCTTTATTGATCTCCTCAGTTCATGCCTGCTTGTAATGATTTGTTCACATCTGTGCTATTGTTGTTGCATGTACTTCTTCTTATTGTCTAGTTTCATTTTGTTGTGGCAATATAGTTGTGATTTTGTGTATAGGTATTTCTTCTTTTTGGGGCTCCCTCAATCTTGCTCAATAATTAGTTTGTTTTCACTTGGTGTGGTTTTTATAACATCTAATAATAATGTCAGCAACTTGAACTCCTGAGAGTGCTGACCATCTCTAACTTATTATTCCTCTGAGGCATATATGTATCATCAAGTCACGAATGCATTATGAATCAGTATCTTGAACTGGAATAAATACTTTTATTTAACTAAAAAAATATGTTCAAAAGAGAAAGTTTAAGAAGATATTCATTATGAAATTAATCACTTATTATTTCCTTATGGAGCTCAGCACAAAAATTTATTGTATTGCCATCGGGGTTACTGCGTCACATAACAACTTGTTATCTTCTGAAACTCCCAGCTTCTTTAGACGATCGAACAATCATCTTCCTAATAATAACTATATACTACTAAATAATATATATAAATAATAATAAATAATAACTATACTAGTATAGCTTAACTATTATTCGTATAGCTTAACTATTATTCATGTGTAATAGGAAGGGGTTCATCATATCTCACAAGTGTGTAACTTTTAATACAACTTTGAAATAAATTAGCTGTACTTTGCTGCTCAACGCTGCACCCAATTGAATGCGTCATATTGTCCAAAAAGTGACGAACTTTATCGAACACAGCACAAGCAGTAAGCTGACCTAGCAATGATGCGCCCGCCGTTTTGCCTGGCCAAACTGGGTCAGGATGGCCCACAATGAACCGATAAATACGTTTCGCTTATTGGATAAAATCTCACTCATTTCTATGAGTGAGGCGGTGATTCTCATTATTAATATTACGACACATTTAAGAAGTTGTTCGCTTTACGATTACAATTGTCATTGAGCCTCGTAACGACTACCTTATTTCCTGGCACACATCCGCGGGCTATGAACTTAAGAGGAGCACAGCAAAGACGGTGTGATTCTACCCGTTTTCTGTATCACTCAAGCTCCCTTGCCTGGCATCAGACACATAGATGATGTGTGGGTGTCGAAAGTTTGTTTACCAATGACGTTAAAAGTTTGAAAACCTGGCTATACTTAACGCAGTCCTCGTACAAGTTACGATAGACGGATGAGCGTCCGAATATAATAAAAAACATTATTCGTATTATAATAAAAACATTTTGTCAGCCATGACAGGTCGTGTAACCCGTTCAGAAGCAAGGATTACTCGGTAAGGAATGCTAGTTCCTAACACTTGTCCTTGACTAAGGCTCGGTACCTTCAACTGCGGCGTCTTGAACGCCGCGCGCGTGTCGCTTCTTCCGGGTTGCTCGCTCACCTTGAACTTTTAAGGCGCGTATTGCATCCTTTTTTCGTACACTTACACTATCTGAGCGCGTATTTTATCTTATTCTTGACCGCGTACATACCCCTCCTCTTTTGAGGCGCATTCCGTCTGGCGCGGCGGTGACGTCACCAGTCTCGCTGGCCGCCACATGCAGCGGTGACGTCACCAGTCGCGCTGGCCGCCACATGCAGCGGTGACGTCACCAGTCGCGCTGGCCGCCACATGCAGCGATGACGTCACAAGACGCCACGTTAACGCGTGGCAGAAACGTCACTGCACGCGCCAGGCGCAGGTTCATGGAACATCGCTGCCTAATTTAATTGTAGCTCTTGTTAACGCTAAGTTTATCTCGGTTCAGGTGGTTGTTTGAGTGTCTATTGACTTCGTTGCTATCATTAACGGGCCTCTTGCTTGAACTTTTTGTTTCAAGGTTTAATGTTATGGATATTTTGCCCTTGAACTGATTTATTCTTTTTTGTTTTCAGGTTACCAGTATTAAAGTAATTAGTGCCCGTATTATGTAAATTACTATAGCTAATACCCTAGTAATCACGCACAATCGTGTACCTTATTAATAGTTTGTACTAGTCCGACGTCAACGTACGTTATTGTGGCCTTAGGTCTGACGCAAAAATACTGCATAAATATTAAAGCCTTCCGACATTCACAGTGGCGTTGTGTAACGGTTAAAGTGTTACAAAATTTGTTTTATTACCAAGAGCTTGTGAGCTGTAGTCCAGCCGGTGATATGTATGTGTTCGTGTGGCTCTATAGCCTCAGATTCTACAAAAAACATATTCCAGTTTTTACCTCATATCTTTTAGAGAAGTGCACTTAGCTCTGTGAAATTTGTACCAGACCTCACGAGTACTACTAGTAGTGTATATACTCAATATTTTCCAGGCTATAAACGCTAATTGTTTTTAGATAGGAAGCTAAATTATTCCAAATTGAAGCAAAAATTACCCACTATTGCCATGGGTTGTTTTTAGAGTTCGGGCCTATATTGCACCAGTTAAGTTTGTTGGCCCGCCTACTAAATGCCTACGTGTTGTGATTAAACGTAACAGTGGCAATTAACAAGTGCTAGTAATATGTGTGGTGGGGTACCATTATGGAAATATGGTGAGCAACGACGTGAGTAACCGCAAAGTCGTCAGCAATGAACAAACAGTGAACAATGTTCCGCATATAATTTCATTACCAGATTTGAACTGGTGACTTGCCTAATATAACAGACCTACACAGCCCACGTCGTGTAGACATCTGACCCGACGCCTCAGTCACCATTCATTTACCATTAAGATCGTAGTTTATCACACATCGTTTTCCTTCAATTACACAACACATTATTAAGTAAAGCCTTCAATACGCTTCAATAGTAGCGCCCTATATTAACTCACAGCGTTCTGCGCCCAATATTACCTTTAATAAATTACGACGCTACGTGACAGGTAATATAGCACTCGCCAATCAGACTATTAACCACCCACCAACCTGAGATTTTACCACTCTAAATCTCACCACTTACCACTCTAATCCCACCACTTACCACTCTAATCTCACCACTTACCACTCTAATTTACCACCCATAATACCATTCAGCACCCTCACACCACACAATGTGTATGCTGTGTATGGTGCAGCATCTCGCTGTGGGGATATATAACGCGGGGGCGAGTCTCTGTGGGGTTAGGTCGGGGGATTACTCTGTCCAGAATGAGCCCTCTGAGGGGAGTAAAGTCCACCAGACGAGGGGACTTGCCCACGCCCCCAAGAGAAGGGACTGGCGGTACTATATATGCTGTAAGTCCTGCATTCCTGTTGAGTTGGTAACGCTCTACCTTTGTTATGCATTAGAATTGTTTTCCTTTAAATATTAACTCGTCCATGTATCCTCTATTAATTCTTATTTGTAGTCTCCTACTTTGCATGCTGATGAGTTAGCGCCTCTGAGATCGAGCTACTTCTTTCTACGTGAATGTCAACTGATCATTTATGAATAATTTCAGTAGCGTTGTATAGTTGTTAGCTTTAAATATTGCAAGCATTTTGCTGGTACACGTGGTCATGATGCTGGTACACGTGGTCACGATGCTGGTACAGCTGGGTATGCAGAGTGTGATGTCTCATGCTGGGTATGCAGAGTGTGATGTCTCATGCTGGGTATGCAGAGTGTGATGTCTCATGCTGGGTATGCGGAGTGTGATGTCTCATGCTGGGTATGTGGAGTGAGATGTCTCATGCTGGATATGCGGAGTGTGATGGCTCATACAATGTCTCTGATGGTAATGAACTTCATAAGAGCCATGATAACCCCTTCATTATAAACACATCTAATAGGTGTTATCACATAGTTTTTCACAGCTAACTTGTGTGGAATTTTGATAATTTTGCAAGATGAATGACGAGTAATTTTTCTTTCCTAACAACGTTTATTTTGGTCAGGTTGTACGGGGCCTTCGGGCGTCGCGGCGACCGGCAACATGGTCTTCCTGCACGGTGTGCTGTACCTCGACATCCTCGGGGGCAGGGACCTGCCAGACGTCGATATTTCCTGGTTCAGGTCCACAAAGGACGTCTCCGACCCATACGTGACCGTGGACACTTGCGCAGGGGGCAAACGCAGCTGCCGGATTGCCAAAACCTCCATCATTTATAACTCCCTGAACCCGCACTGGAGTGAGAAATACCGCATCGAGATGTGCCATGAGGCCGAGAGCTTCCTCTTCTCAGTCAAGGACTTGGATCTCCTGAAGGTGGAGTGCATGGGGTACCTGAACATCAGGGCTGAGGACCTATTAAGTGAGGAGCCCATATCTGGGTGGTATCCTCTGATGAGCAAGAGCGGTAACCCCGCTGGTGCACTCAATATTTCCATGCAGTTCAAGTCGGTGACGTCCATCACACGGTCCAATGAAGTGCTCGATACCATCTTCCCCATGCGGGGGAACTGTCATCTCAAGTTATACCAAGATGCCCACACCCCCGCCGTACCTCCCATAACTGATGTCCCAGGAACCGACGGAGAACCATACGATCCCCCACAACTGTGGAAGGATATCGCCCGACACTTCGAAGGCGCGCAAAAACTTATTTACATCACAGGTTGGAGCGTAAAGACGGACATCAGCTTGGAGCGTGACGGGGACCACGAGTCTCTGGGAGAACTGCTTAAGAGAAAGGCAGAAGAAGGAGTGCGTGTGCTCCTCCTCGTCTGGAACGAACTCACGTCCACGGACATGTACACTCCTGGCGTCATGGGCACCCACGATGAGGATACCAGGATATACTTCGACGGCACTGAAGTCGAGGTCGTCTTGGCGCCACGCACCAAAAACAAAGGTAAAGTCATGGAGACGAATTTCGTGTCAACGTGTTACACCCACCACCAGAAGTCCGTCATCCTCGACGTACCGATAGAGGGTGACGATGAGTGTAAACGTCGCTTAGTGGCGTACGTCGGAGGTCTGGATCTAACAGACGGCAGGTGGGACACGCCCGATCACCCCCTCTTTAGGACGCTTCCTGTCGAACACTCGAATGATTTCTACAACGGATGTTGTCCTTCCAAAGTTACCGTGGGACCACGGCAGCCCTGGCACGACATTCATGCTTACGTTGACGGCCCAGCAGCCCTTGACGTTCACGACAATTTCGTGGAACGCTGGCGCTGCCAAGCCCAGGACAAGGAGAACAGACTATACCCTTTGTCAGCACGCGACTTCGATCTCGATTACTCGTCATGCAGCGGCAACTGGAACTGTCAGCTGTTCAGATCCATCAACTCTGACTCTGCCCACTTCCGAACCGACGTCTTGGACAAGCTATTGATGAGGAAGGGCCGCCTGTACGAGAATACCATCCAGAGGGCGTACGTGCATCACATACGGCGAGCCAATCGATTCATTTTTATCGAAAATCAATATTTCCTGGGCTCTTCGCATGGCTGGCTCGTTCAAGAAGCCAAGTGTACACATCTTGTCCCCCTGGAGATCGTAACGCGGATCACCCGTGCGATCGACGATGGCGAAGACTTCCGGGTATACATCCTGGTACCCATCCACCCAGAAGGAGATCCAGCCTCAGGGGCGGTGCAGGAGATCTTGTACTGGCAGTACCGCACCATGGACATGATGTACCGCAAGATCGCCAAGACCCTCAAGCGGGTGGGGTCGGATGCCCACCCCACCGACTACCTCAGCTTCTTCTGCCTCGGTAAGCGCGAGTCTCCTGACGACGTCCCAGACGGGCTGGACCCGCCGGAGAGCGACTCTGTTGCCGAGAAAGCCCGGTCGCACATGCGCTTCATGATTTACGTGCACTCCAAGATGATGATAGTTGATGATGAGTACATCATCATCGGCTCGGCCAACATCAACGAGCGCAGCATGAACGGCAACCGCGACACGGAGATGGCCATCGGCGCCTACGAAACTGACCACACGAAGGAAACTATGGGCGACGGGCTGGTGCAAGGGGCCGTTCACACATTCCGACGGGCGCTGTGGGCCGAACACTGCGGTGAACACAAAGAAGAACACATCGACCCCAGTAAACTTGAGTGCATGCAGTCGATGCGCAGCATCGGGCAGGAGAATTTGCAGCAATTCTTGGGCGATGAACCCGAGCGCCGAGACTCGCATCTCTTGCTGTACCCCATCGACGTGTCGGAGTCTGGCCACGTCAAGACGAGGGACGACTGCCAGACCTTCCCTGACACCGCCGCCCCCATCCTGGGGGGCAAGTCGTCCTTTTTACCAAATTCCCTGACAACTTAGCGTTGATATTTTAATTTTGAGACTATAATTCTTCTTGTTGACGTTGACTTCAAATTTTGATAGTTATAAAGTTTTTAATCAAGTTTATGACTCATGGAACCTGGTAATGTTTTATTTCTGATGCTGTTTAATTAAGCTCAACGCAGTGTTAGATGACAATATTTTTTGATCTGTTAGACCAGTTAAACTTTTTAGTTTATAACTGCTGGATGATATTACTATTTGATCTGTTAGACCAATCACTTCGTGTTAATAAAAAACTGCTGGAATAGTATTATGTATTTGATCTGTAAGACCAATTAGACTTAAAAAAAAACTACTGAATGATATTACTGTTTGATCTGTTAGAGCAATTACACCCGTTAATGCAGAAGTGCCTTCTCGTGTAGCAGATGCAGCTGTCACGCTGATTGCGTAGAATTATTTTATATATTCTGAATTGATTTATTTATTGGTTTTATCTGAATTGATTTATTTGTGTACGCCACGTGGAAAATTATTTATATGTTATCTATTCTTCCCATATTTGACGCCAGAACCTTGCTGACTAACTCTTTAATTAGTGTTAATAAATATATTAGGTTTTTAATCTAATTCAACTGGAATCATTATTAACGTATGGGTAGTGATAAAAAAATTAAATTTAAAGATAATCAGCCTTGGCAGAGATCATTACACACATCACCTACTGCTAGTGATGCGAGCCGCACTTTTCTATGTTGTCAGAACGTTCGAGCCTTACGACCAAACGCCGACAACTATTTTGTTAAATGACGACTGACTTTAATTTAGTTTCCTGCCGCTGGCAATTTATTGCACTTGGTTTAAGTTCATTAAAACTTCAGTCAACACGGATAAAACTTAATTTTATTTTTGCAAAGAACAGTTAAAAAGAAACAAGTTTAAAATATCAAACACCAGCTTAACATTCATGATCAACAAACTGTTTCGTAAATGTTTCATGGCACAGCCACGACTCTAGCGTTAGAGCACAAGATCGCTATGAGTTGGTAGAGCGGCCTCAGCGGTGTGAGCTTAGGTTAGGATCTCACTGTAGGACTGGCGGGACAGGACTACTGCGGTGAGCTTGGACTCTATTGTTACTGAGCAGGCGACGCTAGACGCGACGGTACAACACCGACTGTTCGTGATGCGAGCCGCACTTTTCTATGTTGTCAGAACGTTCGAGCCTTACGACCAAACGCCGACAACTATTTTGTTAAATGACGATGACTTGAATTTAGTTTCCTGCCGCTGGTATTTTATTGCACTTGGTTTCAGTTAATTAAAACTTCAGTCAACACGGATGCACAGAACAGTTAAAAGAAGGAAGTTTAAATAAAGTATCAAACACCAGCGTAACATTCATGATCGACCAACTGTTTCGTAAATGTTTCATGGCACAGCCACGACTCTAGCGTTAGGGCAGAAGATCACTAAGAGATGGTAGAGCGGCGTGAGCTTAGGTTAGGATCTCACTGTAGGACTGGCGGGACAGGACTACAGCGGTGAGGTTGGACTCTAATGTTACTGAGCAGGCGACGCTAGACGCGACGGTACATGGTATAGCCAAATATATGCACCCGAGATGAATAAATTAATGTGACAATAGTGAACGATCTGCATAGTTAGCAACGTCATTACTCACATGTCCAGCATTTAGTGAGACATCACAGTAAACATGCGATGACGAACATCGTCGTAGGTAAACAGACGTCATTTTCATGACAGTTATCATTATCGTTTTGTTCAAGTACTTTTACAGTTATCATTGTCATCACGGTAACCTGCTAGGACAGTCTCCACTGCCATCATAGTCCCGTCTGACGGTCATTACATTTACGACGCATTTAAGCAGGAGGCAGCTTAACTGAGCTTATGTGCCCATCCCGTTCTTCCCACTGACGCGCTAAGTGCTTGTTAATTGTTTAGTCTCTAAATAATTATTGATTACTCGTTATTTCTGTATGATAATAGCTAATTAATAATTAGATACATAGGACATTAGATGGTCAGTCTTGTGTCTAGATATTATTTTACGAATCTCATTCTTTAAGCGTCGTCAATTTGCCCTCGTTTTATAAAGGGTGAGTTAGTCCACGAAATTTTATTTATACTAAGATGTTCTGCATGTTATCCATAATTCAAATGTTATAATAAAGTAGTTCAGACGGAACATGTATTTCTCCTATAGTATGTCGCTGATGTGGTATGCTGCCTAGCTTCATTTTTGCTATTATATTATCATTAGATGACATTATTGATGTACAAGCTTACCGCTACAGTAATACGTACATTCTATGGCCTTATACGTACATTTTCATATGCTCTGCATAATTGAAATATTGACGTACAAAACTAAGCGTACAATTCTTTGATATGACGCACACTCTAGCTAGCTTTACTTCGTGAATTTCTTGACTATGCCAGTCTCTGTATCACTTGGGTCTTGACTATGCCAGTCTCTGTACCACTTGGGTCTTGACTATGCCAGTCTCTGTACCACTTGGGTCTTGACTATGCCAGTCTCTGTACCACTTNGTCATGACTCATGCCATGACCATGCGTGTCATGACTCATGCCATGACCATGCGTGTCATGACTCATGCCATGACCATGCGTGTCATGACTCATGCCATGACCATGCGTGTCATGACTCATGCCATGACCATGCGTGTCATGACTCATGCCATGACCATGCGTGTCATGACTCATGCCATGACCATGCGTGTCATGACTCATGCCATGACCATGCGTGTCATGACTCATGCCATGACCATGCGTGTCATGACTCATGCCATGACCATGCGTGTCATGACTCATGCCATGACCATGCGTGTCATGACTCATGCCATGACCATGCGTGTCATGACTCATGCCATGACCATGCGTGTCATGACTCATGCCATGACCATGCGTGTCATGACTCATGCCATGACCATGCGTGTCATGACTCATGCCATGACCATGCGTGTCATGACTCATGCCATGACCATGCGTGTCATGACTCATGCCATGACCATGCGTGTCATGACTCATGCCATGACCATGCGTGTCATGACTCATGCCATGACCATGCGTGTCATGACTCATGCCATGACCATGCGTGTCATGACTCATGCCATGACCATGCGTGTCATGACTCATGCCATGACCATGCGTGTCATGACTCATGCCATGACCATGCGTGTCATGACTCATGCCATGACCATGCGTGTCATGACTCATGTCATGACCATGCGTGTCATGACTCATGTCATGACCATGCGTGTCATGACTCATGCCATGACCATGCGTGTCATGACTCATGCCATGACCATGCGTGTCATGACCCATCATCTTGAAGCCCTCAAGAGCGCTGTACTCACCGCATTTGAGTACAGCGGTGTACTCAAGTACACAGCGGACTCGCCTGTCTGGCAGAGCGGTAATTTCTATGGCATTTCTTGTAATTTATATTGTGTGCATTAAAAGGCTGAGCGATGGCTGGCGTGAGGCCCATTCTGAGGCCTGTATGTATACCTATATCTTTGAAGCTCTAGTTCCAGGTATTATTATTAACTAGTTACAAAACTCGAGTGTCGTGAAGTATTAACATGAACCAATGAATAAGTGTTAGGGACGTGGCTCTATGAAGAGAGTGATGGCTGAGTGCTGCAGGCACGCACGAAATTTTTCGCTTGTTTGTGCATCGTTTTGTACGTAAGCTTGAATTATAAATATTGCATGCAACATTGTGCAGCTGGCCTTTAGCTGCACAATTCATACAATTGTAACATACAATGTACTCCTAGTACTGAGACAAGCCACTAATCTGGATCTACCAACATTTCTACTCGAGTTCTATGATGCCTCATAAAGCCATCCTGGCCAGAATATTAAATATAAATAATTTTAATGACGTGTTTTACTCCCTGTAACATATGGCAACATTCAACGGTAAAAACGGCTGCAACAGTGCTGCCACATGTAAACAGTGCTGCCACATGTAAACAGTGCTGCCACATGTAAACAGTGCTGCCACATGTAAACAGTGCTGCCACATGTAAACAGTGCTGCCACATGTAAACAGTGCTGCCAC